AAAAAATCTAATACATTTCAGTCCAACTCTCTCAATAACCTTGGCCAAAACAATAAACAGTTCAACATAAAGTGCCAGTTGCACCAACAACGTAATAAATAGTTCAACATAAAGTGTACCATTTAAAATAAAATAATATTCTTTCAATATCCTGATGAAAAATAAAATCTCTCTGTTGCATAGGCCACTGTTTGATCAACGCGAATTGGGTGTGGGTCCTTGTATTCCGAGTCGGGCTAACGTCCACGCTAGCTTCCACGCTAGCTGCTATATGTTTTGCATTGAGGTGATACTTGAGGCTTGATGTGCTGCGGCGATATGCAAATTCCTTTTTGCATAATTTGCAAACAACCGTGCTCTTATCGACGCTTCCCTCCGTCCGTTTTTTAAAACAAAATGTCCCATCCACGGGGCCAACCAAAGCGGTCTCATCAGCTTCTTCGTTCATGTTTGACTATTGTTCACTGTGGTTTGTTGTTGTCTGAAGTAATGAACGTTAGTTGGTGCTCCAGTATAATCGGTACCCCTGAAACTCATCCAGTGAGAAACGTTCCGCGGTGCAAAAATAAGTGCGATTAACATGCGTTAATTTTTTTAACGCGTTAATTTTTGTGTAATTAATTAATCTTAATTAACGCGTTAAAGTCCCGGCCCTACTTATAATACTTCTGTACTTTCATAGTTCTAAACTAGTGCAGCACTTTAACTTGTCATGATGGATTTCCTTAGATTACTGTATTGGTGCTTTTACATATGTCAAGACTGAGTAATTATTTTACTACTGATGAAATGTCTGACAGAGTGAAATGTTTTGCTAAAAACAAACCTCCACAAGATCCATGTCATTGAGAGTCAGGCCGGCTTTTTTAAGCGCTTCTGTGATTGCTGGAACGGGACCTAAGATGTTTTAAAAGAAAACAGAGATACTTAAACCAATGTGAAATACCACAACCATTTATTTAGTTATTCATTTAATTAAAAAGGGCTTAAATTACATCTCAATGACAAAGGTGTTACTTACCAATTCCCATAATGCTTGGGTCACAGCCTGACACATGGTAGGACACAATCCTGGCCAGTGGAGTGAGCTTGTGGTCCTTTAGTGCATCTTCACTTGCAATCACCACAGCAGCAGCTCCATCAGATACACCCTGGACACCAAGAGTGTTAGATGTAGTAATTGTAAGATACTCCCATGGTATGAGTAACAGTAGTTCAAATATGTTTGACTTCAAATAAAACTAAATGGCACTAACTCCTTAAAAAATAAATGGTTGTTTTTAGCTTTTAACCGTTTGCAATTACATTTAAGAATTATTTTTAGTTTGAAGTTAAACAGAAAAAAAATGCACCCCAGATCTTGAATAGGACTCAACAGCATAAGAGTAAACTACAGACTGTATAGGCGTAAACCCACCGAAGCGTTGGCAGCGGTTACAGTCCCTCCCTTCTTGAAGACGGGAGTCAGTTTGGCCATCTGTTCAAGTGTTGTCTGTGGACGAGGGTGTTCATCCTGAGCCATGGACACCTTTCCCTTCCTAGCTTTCACATCAATGGGAGCAATTTCTGCTGTGTAGTAACCCGCCTCATGAGCTGTGAACAAAAACAAAAATCACAATTGAACTATAAACAATGAGTAGACAAGTTAAAAACAAACGCCTGTCTTCTCAAAAGAAACATGTTTGGATGTTACCATGTTTAAGGTGAGCAGACCGTACAAATATTTAAAAGATGGATTTTTCTTTAAAGAAACCCGTCTTACCAGCCTTCCACCTTTGTTGTGACTGGTATGCATAGTTGTCAACTTCTTCTCGTGTGATCTGGTATTTCTCTGCCAGGTTTTCTGCTGTGATGCCCATTGGGATTTTGATATGCAGGTCAGTCAGACCCGCCCACAAGGTGTCCTCTAGCTGTCAGACAAAGGAGAATAGTTTATTTTTATCACTGCCTCATAAGCTTCTGGTGTTGAATAACAAGCTATATGTGTCAAGTGTTTTGGTTTTTACAAAGTAGACAAAATCAACCGATCACAAACCTTGAGATCGAATCCAAACTTTGTACCAAATCGTATGTTGCGCACAGCGTACGGGGCCTGACTCATACTCTCTGAGCCTCCGCACAGGACCACCTCTGACTCCCTGAGGCAAATCTCCTACAAACACACAGGGGTTTTGTTTTTGGTCAGCAAGACAAAAGATAAGACCAAAAATGTGCAATTGATTTCTATATGTGCTTTTACACATAGTACAGTAGTGTACATTACTACAGTTTATTCTACATTTGGACATCTGCCAGCATTATATTTGAGTTCTTACTTGAGTGCCGTTGATGATTGACTGGAAACCAGATCCACACAGTCTGTTCACAGTGAGAGCAGGCACTGGGATGGGCACCCCACACCTCAGACCCACATGCCGTGCAATGTAGGCTGCATCAGCTGAGCTCTGAAATGGGGAGGGGGGGAATGAAAAGGTGAGAACCAATGTAAATGCACAAGTTAGGTATCAAATGAGCATGATAACATTTTCATGTGATGTTAGTTTTGATTTGATATTTGTTGGTTTTTAAGTACCTGCATGACATTTCCCACGATGACACTGTTTACAAGTTCTGGTGCCACGCCCCCTGCAGCGAGGGCGGCTTTAGCTGCGTGCTCAGCCAAGTCTGTTGCACTGTGATCCTTCAGCACGCCACCATAGGCACCGAACGGAGTGCGCTTGGCCCCCACAACAAATACACCTGCAAAGAGAGTATTTTAGTACAGCGACAACAAAAATACAACCACCAGTGACACAGAGCCAGATCACAGCGTCAGGAAGTGCTTAGTGGTTCATCATGCAGAGATGGTCAACACTGCCAGTGCATTGAGGAGCAGAAAATAAAGATACTGTACAAGAGGGCATCTAACACCAAGGATTGAGATGGACTGGAGAGAAAGGGGGAGCAAATAATCAATGTATCCAGCTCTTTTTCAGTAATATCTCTCAGATCCAAACGATTAATGTTCAGGGATGATTGAGTATTATATATATTTTTAATCAAATCAGATTAAATGCACATTAATTAATTTGCTGCATAAAAATCAATAAGACCATAAAACCGTGATGATTTTAACGGACAAGTTAAAAACAATTGTGGTGCCTTCTTTGGAAAGACATACTGTTTGGAGATACTACTAAGACTACTGTCCTTAAGTCTTTTTCAACTTGCCCAAACCCCTCAAAAAAGACATGTAAAGTTTTCTTAATGCATAATTTTCTTTACCTTGGTTAGTTTACTTTATCTCAACCAGAATTGCATTTTGAGTCGGTAAATTGCTTTGATGATAAAATGTTTAGTAATAAACAAAACCTTCGCGGAAGTAGCTAAAGGGCATGATAGTGCTGTTTATTTTATTTGTTGATATGCTTTTTAGTTTATGATCATTGTGTACTGTCACACCCTCGAGTACACTTCACCATCACTGTAGTAATATGAGGGGGGAAAACACTAGAGGTCAGCAAAAACAACTCTCAGCCTGTCAAGTTGCTATTAAATAGCTACAAAAGGGCATATTAAGATATTTTCTTGATGTGTGTACTCACTGTGTAGGCCATTGATGTATACAGAGAACAGGCGGACAGCTGGCTGAGGAGGACCCTGTCTTCCTCACTATTTTGTGTGTGGCTATTGTCATTATTGATGACCATGAACACTATTAGTAGGTTGATAAAGAAGGTAAAAATAAATTGCTAAACGGTAAATATGATAAATATGAATTGCACTTATATAGATCGAGAGGTATTTGGGGATGCTGGCGATAAACATATGGTTATGAACTTGACACCATCTTGTCACCTTTCACCTATTTTGTAGTTAACGCTGTGATCAGACTATCCACTTTAACCATCCTCTTTCACATTTCCAATGACATTATATCGACTTTCACGTGACGACATTCTTCTCAGGAAACTATTAAAACCTACACTGCTATATAAAGGTTTATTTAACAAAGTGACGTTAGCCCTTTCTTAAAGTCCATCTGCATGCATTCCTGCTTTTATTTGCCTTCTATAGACCTCAAAAAAGTATTTGTTTACCTCGTAGAAGAGCCATGATGCAGAATCAACAAGCCAGCAGTGTTAGGATAAAACTCGTGGGCTGATATATTCTTTCTCTGCACCGAATGAATATCAGTCCGTGCAGAATCCAACACTGCAGAGCGACCTTTGGACCTTTCCCCTAAATAGTGGGGCAGCGAACTTCACACTCGTCAAATAAGATTCGCCAAAAATATTACATATAACTTCGAACTTAAACATTATGAATTAATTGAGGTAATGTTATGTCTTGCATAACTTTAATTTCCTTATGGTATTTTCAAAGTGTTCTATATGTAACTCATTTTATTTAGTTTTCTGTGCTTTCAAAACACTCGAATGTGCCTCCGTGCGATGGTGACTTTTAGTCAACGTCATCACGTCACGTACGCAGGGAGGACAGCCCACATCCATGGGACAGCGGAAGACACTACATGTGAACATTTGTGACCCCGAGTATCAGATTAAACTGAAACAACGCAAGGTGGAAATATGTCTATGTGTTTGTCGCGCAGTCTCTGCAGGGTGTTATCCCGACAGACCGCTTCGTCAAGGTGAGTGTTTGTAAAGTAAGATTTAAGCAGCTGACTGGGCGCTAGCTACCTGGAGCTAACTCAGCTAAGGTTATTCACAAGATAAAGTGCCAAACTTAAAGGGAAACTGTCCCCTATATTAATCTATTGGGGTCAATGATTTAGTATTTTTTGACCTGTATTCTGTGTTGCTTTTCAGCTTCATGTTGGGAGAACATCACCATGCTGTACGGACTCCTTGGTTTGCTTCTGTGATGACACTGAAGACATCTGCTTCTCTAAGGTAAGATCAAAAGTCCGAGGTTCACTGTATGTCCATCTGTTATTTGGTCATTTAATTCATTGCAAGTTGTGTGGGAAAAGGCTACTACCAGAACATAGTATTATAAAACAGATCCTGCATTCAAAAGCTTATTTACAGGTCTTGCCAGTCTTATATTATATGTGCCAAACTCTACTTTTAACGTTGTATTGTTTTTGCAGTCACTATATTATTGTCACTTTAGCCAGAGTTGATGTTAACATCTAGTTTCCAAAATCCAAAGTCATGTCTTAATTTTGCCCAAATACATGTTTCAATGGTGCAAAATGGTGAAAAGCAAAGAAACAAAGCTATCTTTACATTTGAGAGGCTGCAACCAGAATATGATGACGTTGCTTCACAATACACAGTTGTTAAAATTGTTAACTGATTTTCTTTCGATCAAATAATTTATTATTAGAATAATTATTTCAACTACAATTCAACAGATATGTCACAGAAAAACCAGTGACCAGCAGCGTTTCCTCACTGGTTAGTTTCTGAATTTCTGTGCACTGCATCTTATCCCATGCACAGAGGGCTGGGGATGGAGGGTCAGTAGATCCCCTTACATGTTAATTTACCAGGGGTTTGATGATTATCAAACCACCTCTTACGGTTAAGATGTGTTCTAATTTCCCAGTAAAAAAGTCTATGATATGAGCCAAATGCTAGCGATAAAGTCACTGATATGTGTCCAACCTAAATGTAGAACAGTAAATTATATCGATATAGCATTTGTTGATTCATTATGAAAACTCTGAACAATATAACAATACTTATCACAGTATCATAGTATTTATATATTGTGATTGACTATGCTGACATAGATCTATGCTTTGTTTTTAAGAGCGGAGCCTAAAAAGAAGAAGAAAGTGTCCCCAATGACCGAGCAGTTGCAGAGAGATCGGCTGAAAAAAAGAGTGAGGAGGCTGGAGAAGGTTCCCCCGGAGCTTATCCCCGTAGAGGACCTCGTCACTCCAGTCTCATGCTTGGATGAAACAAGGTACAGCTCATTTCACTGTGGTCCATAGTACTGTCATCAACCATTTTTATGGAATTCTTTCAACAATTGGAATAAAACAAGACAATGCCCGCCACATTCTTGGTCTTAGTACATTATTGCATTCAGATGGAATAACTTTGTATGTATCATCCATTTTGCTTTACCTAGCTTGCTGACTTTGATGTGTTTATAAGTTTGTGTTTTTTCTTCTCTTCCAAAGGGAGCGCTCTGCAGTAAACCTGTTATTTGAAGAGAGTGAGCGTCGAGCCTCGCTGTTGAAGGAGTGGTGTCGATACAAACAGGTCACCACTTACCTTCAACACCTCCAACACTTAAGCTTTTACAGATAATTGTGTGTCTGACCTCTGCCCTCCATCATATAAAGTAAGTGAGTCATATTTGTGCTCTTCTCTGTTTGGTCGCGCAGGAGCAGAGCATGGCTGAAATGCAGGCTGTTGAACTCGCTCTAAAAGCGCAGACGGAGGCACTGGAGGAGCTGAAGCTGGAGTCTGAGGAGCTATACCACGCATCGCTGAAGCCAGACACTCTTTTATTTCCCTTTACTCATGAAGGCCCTGTCCATACCCCGCCAATTAACAAGTACGAAGCTCCTGATGGGAAGTACAACGACATCACTAAAGTTTACACACAGTGACGGACTGGAAGCAGCGGTTTGCCCGGGTCAATTGTCATGTATTAAGTGTATGTTTCTACACAATTTAAATGATTCAAAAAGCATATGATGGTCTGAAGGACAATTATTTTTCTTATTTTTCTTGAATTGTACAGTCTCCGGTGTTTTTTTAAATGTCCGTATAAAATGCAACAGCATTCACGAAAATGATGCATAGATTTTTTTCCTCTCACATTCATATTTATGTAAAACAAAACTGAAGAAAAAATAAAGTAAACATGTTTTTTATTGATCCAATAATTTTCAGCAGTTTGTCATTTCATGATAAAACTATAACCAAATACACATGGTAGAAAACTGCTAATGCTAAACTCCATATGGGTTGAACAGAAAAGCCGAAGTCAATTATACATACATTTCGTACAGTATATAATGTGTTCATCATGGAGGAGTATCTACAGCAAGTAAAAGAATACAGTGCTTTTGAGAAGTGTTGGTAGGGTAACTAGGGCCAACTCTCCGGTCAGATGCCATCAAAAGTGTTAGTACACTAGAGCAGCATCATTACCCAGGTCATTCTTAACTTGGATGGAATATATTAAATCTTGTGAATGTATCCATAGCATAAATAGACCCGTTACTCACCTTTTTTCACTTTTCTAAACCTGAAAACAAGCCGACTAATTTTTAAATGTCTTTATGGTGGGTCTGTTAGTGCAGTCAGCCTTTGATTCAGTTAAAACAAGCTTTGGAAAATGTAGTACTAATGATAGGAACATCCCAACACTGATTTAGCAGAGATCAGTTATTATCTAGTTGAATGGACTTATCACAATTGACCATGAGAGGCTGCCGTTGACACATATGTTTCCATACAGCAGCATCTACTGAGACAGTAGAGCGATGAACAGTCTCTCCGGCACGTGGTTCGAAACGATTTTTTCCGGTGACAAGAATATCAAATCTTCTTCTAACTTGGTTGCCATGGGACCGAGACAGGAGGTTGATAGATACAGTTCAGGAGTTCTGAGGCTTTTCCTGGTTCAGGGGCAGGTGCCAGTCTCTGGGGGGTTCTTTCCTGAGTTCCCACACTGGGGTGAAGTTTCCCTGCTCTGCCACTCTGTCCCGCTCACTCTTCAGCAAGGCTTCCTGCAATACACATATATTATTTATTCAAAGGCTGATTTTCATTTGAAGATGTATTTTTCCAAGAGTTATTTCCGACAGCCTGGACTGTGTAAAAAGTTTGTTTTGATTATGTAGAATGGCAATAGTTTATCCTTGTCTGATAAAAATGTGACCTCCTGCAGCTTTACCTTAGCCTCGGCGCATCTGCGTTCCTCCCACTCTCTGCAGTCATTGTAGTCATTTTTCCACTGCTGGCAGGATGGAACAGTACCGTAGGTGTAATAGTGGTGAAAACCATTACCCCAGCTTACACAATGTTTGAATTCCTCCAAGTAGTTATCACAGGCTCGGGGCGGCTGTACCAACAGAAAAAAGCAGTGATCATCATCCAGCCAACTGGACACATTACTATCAGTCTCAGGTGTGTGACTGCATAACTTTTTCTGGTTACACTTGACAAGCTCATGTTAAATGGATGCAAAATGTGAGTGCATGAAAATGATTTACCTGAAGAAAAGTAAACGTTTTATTATGAAATGTCTTTCAAATTATTGAAAAATAGGATATTTCTAAGACTTTGAGAACCAGGTCATTCTGAATATCAAACTGCTGGGAAATAAATAAATTTGACTTTCAAAAAACTACGCTATTATTTTAAAAAAGGTTAATTATTTCACAACTTATAGCATGCATTTGCCTAATATCATTAATATGATCGTCTTATTTATTTTAAAATGTACAGATATTGGAATTAATGACTCATCCACTGACTATATTTTTGAAACGTTTACTTAGTATAAAGAAAAATAAACATCCTGAAGCTCCATCAGGTCACTTATGTTTACTCCGTTTCTGCTAAACCCCCACTTCTTCACTGACTTACATACATGTTATTGGTAGCTAGCTAAGGTTACTTGGCAATTTAGCAACGATAGCTAATCACCTTGCTAGGTATTTGGATCGTTGTTGGCACTTTTCACTCCTTATCAGAACTAGTAAGAACAAGGCAGGATAAAATTAATTAAGACATTAATTCAAGGCCCTTATTTCAAAGATAATATTTGATAAATTACCCTCCACGCTGCTTTTGCAGGTCGATCCATTGCTAGCTGGGCTAGCAAATACATAATATATACTTCCGGTTCGATTTTGTTTCACAATAAAAGCCCAAGAATACAGTTCAACAGCCATAACCTTCAACTTAAGGCTACAAAACTCTCTTGAAAACATAACAATGAAACAACATGAGTGATTAATACGAGTAAGTTAACATTAATGATTACTAACTAAACATCCCATAATTATAGTAATAGTAACAATTGTGATGGATTATTTTAAAGCAAATCATATCAGTTTCATTTAATTTGCTTGTCATTCTACAAAAATAACATTAAGGGACAATTCATTCATTTCAAACACAGTTCTTTATTTGTCTATAAATAAACCAAGGGAAACAGAACGAAAAAACTCAATCAGGCCTATTACTAAAAAAACTCAATCATAAAATGATGTTCAGTTAAAAACCAAAGAATTTAGCTATTATTGCTTCCATTTTTATCAAAAGAATGCAAATCTGGATAGCAGCATATTTAAATTCAACTGTAAAAATGCAATAATTATGAAGAAAAGGGGCGGGAATACTCTCATATTACAATTATACTTCACAAGGTATTCTTTGTGTTGGTGGTGTGGTGATATAATTATTTTTTATTTATTTCACAAACTCCAGACAGCATTATAAGGAGCTCAGCTTTTGTTGAGCAACATGTTACTGTCAGACCTTTAATAACATCAAATCCCAACTCAACAGCAACACCATTTCAAAGCGACAAAGAGTCAAAAACCGCATGGATCTGAAGTTCAGTTTTTTACTTTGCTGTTTAGGGGGACAATGTATATTGCGAGTCTCTGCATGCTAGCCAGTCTCTCCACGTGGGCTCCTTCAAGGCTTTCTTCCCTTTTTGCGTAGTGACTGTCCTTCTCCAGAGAAGGCGATGAATCTGTTCATTTCATCCTCCTTGAAGGAAAAATCATGTATTCAGAGAATTCAATTCAAATAAATAGAATAAATCACACAAATTGTTTAGATTAAATGCTATGAAGAAAACTAGTTTGGTAGAAAAGAAAATAATGCTGAAATATTACAAATAGAACCAAGTTAAATATGTAAAAACATATGATGATGTCCACCGCGTTTCTTACCTCATCGAAAGCTTTCCTGGGCAGTGGCCTTGAGTTTCTGATGAAGGTGATTCTGCCAACTTTGTAATCGTAGTTAGGAATGCCTCTGTGAGATGAAGGTTTAGAGCTTTTGGTTAGTTATTTACACTGAAGGCTTGTAGAGTGGTTCACTGCTCAGTGATGTGTAGCAGAATGAGCATTGAACAGGACAACAAAAGGTTCTGCACACAGGGTGGAAGGCTCCAACGACAAAATCCTGTTGACTTTTTGTTGAGCTAACCAGGGCTTCACCAACATCCCGGTTGGCAAACAAAAGACATCTCCACTTTAACACTCAAACATTTTGCAGTTCTCATCATGAATGGTTACCATTATGTTACAATATTGCATTTTTAGGACACTTCATTTCCTAATGTAGAGAACACTGAACATCACCTTTTGATGTCACTTGGGTCAAGAGGTACAGGGCTGGGCTCTATCCCTTTTAATTTTCCATCCAAACGATTGCCATTGCCGGTAAAAGCCTGAGGAAAGGAAACCGATGAGAAGGTATAACATTAGCTCTAGTTATTACGGTTATCAGATGTGATAAGGACATTTATACGTCTCTAACCTACTGCACCATTTACTCACTCTAAATCCCAGATCCATGTCGGCGTAACTAGTGGGATCTGCTTCCTCCTCCTGTGAAGAATTGAATTGAATCAATTTGTTCAGAGTGTAAATTGTACAGGTACTTTCAGACTTTGGTCCTTACTGTTGGTTCCTCCTGGTGCTGAGGTCGTCGCTCAGGCTCTTTGTAACCCAAAGGAGCATCAAAATCCACCTGAGAAACAGGGAGGAAACACATTTAAACTGGAGGAATAAACAGAATCATTCACTGTTGTCTTCGATTGTATTATGAATCTTACGTTCATATCGCACTCGATGATGGACACTGCTTTATCTGGCTTAGTCTCCATGACTCGCAGCTCATAGATCTGAAACAATAAACCGATTACATTAGCAGAGGTATAAGGTAGAAAGTAATATAGACAAAAACATTCACATATTAGTCCAATACTACTTTTCAAGCTAATTCACCTTTTCATTGTAGTTGATAGCGACGACGTCACCAGTTGTCAAGCAGGCAAAGTTTCTCAAAGCATTCTCCAGTCTGTAATAAAGTGACAACTTAGTTAATCTTTATAGTTAAAGATATAAAGAGAGAAAAAAAGCCAATTTAACGTTCATAACAGATATTTCTTACACTGCCTTGGGGTTTGTAATGTCCAGGAAATCAGGGCTCTGTGGCTGGAACTTTGAGTAGGTGGCCACCATCAGGTTAACGCTTTCCACTTGGACCAGACCTCCTTCTTCTAGTAGAAGATTCTGCATCATCTGTAACAAACAAAATAAAGCAAATCATCAGCTTTCCTGATGTATAGTCTTATGAGAGATATGTATTTATTTGTATGAATGTCTGGTAGACAAAGGTGTGGTTAAGGCAAGGTCAGAAGTGTCGTCAAAGTTGGCGTTAGGTGATGGCTTCTCGAAACAGGAAGGAGAGGTTGCTTTCACCAAGGTGACATCGTTCACATTTAATTCAGCATTTAGCATAGGAGCTTAAAATTACATCCAAAGTGAACAGAGTGCATTTAATCAGTAGCAGGGAACAATTCAGTTATTGACACTTATCCTGTTCCTCTCACCCAGTGTGGCAGGTAGCAGATTCCCTCGTCTGCCACAAACTCCAGTACGCCACAGTGTGTCATTCTGTCTGAGTTCTTGTTGGTCAGCTTGAACAGCATTGGATAGGTGATGTTAAGCCTGCCTGTTCAAGGAAAAGGAGCAGAAAGGTGAGACTCGTGGAAGGTTTATACAGGACTTTTATGGTGAAAAGGTGTGTGATTTTATTTTCCACTTACTGAGCTGGTCGAGAGCTGAAGGTGGCATTATGACTGAAAAACAAGCCGTTTATTAGAAAAGACCTCGCTATGTATTACACATTCTTCTTCTTATTCTGTTTATTTTATTTACAGTAAGTACAAGGACATATTTTGTGTCAATAATACTTACTTTTGCCTCCTTTCTCCACGTCAGAGCGGTCGTTGGGACCGGCCAGCATGGACACCGAGTAGCATCGGTACTGAGTGGAGAAGCGGTTCTGAAAGCCCCGGGACAACGGGTGATCGAACACGTGGAACGAAAACTGTGGGACAAACCAAATCCTTTATAAAACACACATGTTGATCTGATAGCTTTTACGTGAACTTATACCATGAAAGTTAACTATTTGGCTATATGAACGCAGGGATCCAATCCCATCATGACAGGGCAGCTTGTTGTTGTTAGCCGCTGGCTAGCTAAACTGCTCCAAGTACGGTTTGTTTTGATATAAATGTATCGTCAACGTTGGACAGAATCATTGAAGTGTCACTCACCATGTCGACAGTTTAGGTCTTTAGTTGTCAAACTACTCAAATGACAATGTCTGTTTCTGTTTTCCTATTTTAAAGTTTAACGTTTTAAGCCTTAAATGTCCACTGTTGTCTTCCGTTTCTTCCGGAAGTGGACGAGCAGCCTCAAGGATATGACGACATGAAAGACGTTAGCCAATCAGCAGTCCATTTGGCGAAGTCCCTCCCCTTCCGGTGGACCTCCATGGGACCTTATTTCGGAAAAATTATGTATTGAAGAGAGAAAGATTATCTTTCGATCCCGTTTGAATTGTGCCACGAATTACACATATGATGTTTGTCAATTTAAAAGATAATTTTGCAAGTCAAAAAAATTAAAATGTGTCGTAAAACTGTGAAGTAACACATGTGTTTGTGTGAAACGCTGAATAAACTACATCTCCGGTCTAGCAGAACAACACACGTCACCAAGATGGCAGTCACTACTGTCTTGTCAACAAAAGGATTTACTACCCTCACTATCACCACAATGAAACACGTCCAGAAGAATGTCATGCAAAGCTGCTTGCCTGCCTTCGATTCTCTCTGAACTGCCTGGTCTTTTTAATGTTTAATGTGAACCATTTGTGCAGATAGCGTGAAGTAGAAAAGATCGCAGATGCTAATGTAGCGTTAGCATTTCTCCCCCGGGCTTAAATTGTGTATAGAATGATCACACCGGTGTGACAGTAGGCTACTCTTCAAAGGGTTCATGAAATATGACTACTACTCTTACTGTTTAACATGTTGGGTTACTTAATGTTACTTAATGTTAAGGCTAATAAAAATGACAAGGCTGTAATGCTAACTAACGTGCTAGCTACTAGCTAGGTAGCTAACTTGATCCAGCCACTCCTGGTCCTTTCATCAGACGGGAAGCGAAAGAACGAGCAAGACCCATTGCTGTTATAACAACCTGGTACTAAGCACACAGGCATCTTGTTAAAGTTATCTTATCTTAGCTATCGCTTAGTGGAGGAAAACAGTTATGACATCACTTACGCCTCTCTGGGATTTGTAGTCTTTCTAGTTGCGTATTTTTCATAGTCTTATATTTCAACATTTTTACGACAAACTGACTTTTTTGACATGGAAATTATTTTTTAAGATTGACAAACATCATATGTGTAATTCATGGCACAATTCAAACGGGATCAAAAGATAAGTTTTCTCTCCATTGACTTCAATGTATTATTTTTCCGAAATAAGGTCCCATGATGCGGAAGTAAGTGGGCGTGACTTCGCCACTCTTTCGTGTTTATATATCTACACACTCATATTTCTCTGTCTTCACATCATCATTAATATTCTTCATAACTAATCAACTGGCATTAATGTGAAACAATGATTGGTAATCAAGTCCAACCAGTTACACACATACATACTTCATGAATAAATGTCACACCAGCCTCATTCAGAGCCACACCGTTTTAATGAGTCTTATGAAGACCAAATCAGAAAAACATAATTGACAGCATGTCACTGATTACAAGTTAAAAGCCATTAAAGAGCTCTAGATGAAAACTGTACAAGTCACAGATAGAGTATATAAAAAACTGAGAAAAGGCAGTTGTGGTGTGGTAAATTGACATTTTCAAAATCCAGAAGTCTGAAGATGCCTTCTGACGTAAAGAAGGGAGTTCTACCGATCTGAAGATCAACACAAATATCTCATCAAGTGTGTAATAATGTTTTCTGCCTTCTTATGTTAAATGAAAGCCTTCAGATCGGAGGCCAACTTTTGGCTACTTCTTGATGCATGGCTTCCGGTAACCACTGGCAGTATGCAGACAACAGAACTGTAGGAAGAGAAACATACACTTTCAAACAACAGAATTAAATGTCAAGAAGGGTAATCGAATAATACACAGGCACATTAAATCCTCACATTTTTCGTCATCTTTCCAGACAGAGAGGAGGGCATCCCTGCAGTCTACCCTCTTTGACACCAACACTCCCAGCAGAGCCTCCGTCCTGGGCTGCAGCCTGAAGAAGAAAAACACAACAGTAGGGCAAAAGTTCTTCCTTTAAACAAGGCAGCGTGTTGACTGCAGATCAGTGTGTGAGAGTATCAACTTACTTTGCCCATGATTTCAGCATGATGGATGGGTTTGAGAGAAGGTGGGTGCCGTTTTTCTTCAGTTTAGGACAAACCTGCAAAACCGACAGAGAAGATGTTACTACAAACAAATGACTAGTTTCTATAATTTTCACAGCTTTTTAAAAAAAAAAGTTTTAGTTGAATTTTAGCTTCTTATTTTAAACTTTAGGATATTTTTTGGGTGGAATACATAGAGAACCATGCAGATGTTTAAAACATGTCAGTATAATCCGTTTATTTATATAAAAACAATAATCTAAAAAGGTATGGTGTTAAAATATTTAAGAAGGTTAAAAACATTTCTGCTCTTTGAATTTGATATACACTATGTATTGTTTAGATTTGTAAAGATTCATTTATTTGTCTTATTTCATTGGGTTTGGTATTGGGATGATAAGTGTAAACTGTTTTATTTGTTTTATAGAGTATATATATTTCTTGAATATGCCTAAATATTGGTATGTAAAGTAGGAAGGAAATAAATGTTTTGCCAACAGCTGGAGATCCAAAAAAGCTGAAAGTAAGGAGGAGGCTCAATCGTTATTGAGGCTACTTATACTACAATCTTTTAATTATTTTGGCCATTATCAGTGACCACGACTGCTTTTAGGTTTTCCTGCAGTACCTGTCCCTCAAGCAGAAACTTGGAGAACAGTTTGTAACGCTCCAGTCCTTCTGGATATTCCTTCTCCACTGCTGGCAGCGGCCAAGCTATACGGACTGCAAGAGAAACACAACAATTACATAATGTAAGCAGGTTGACAATGGTAGCTCTCAATGTATTTTATACAGTAGTTTCTGAGCTGTGCTCAGCAGTAGAAAACGTACAGAAGGTGCTTGAGCAGTGACATTTGATGGTGCCGGTGGACAAAGAGAACCACGGTGACGGAGACTCCAGAGGGGAGCCAAAATGACAATACTGAGGCAGAAGCTCGGGAATCCACTCGGCTTCTACTGCTGACACACCTGATGGAGACGGAAAGACAGAAGACATTTCCCCAGGTGAGACCATCGGCCTGCAAATCTAGATGTTTCAATGCAGACTACTCATAACACATTTCGTTCTGCTGTAATCTGGCAGTTCAGAAATGTGTCAACAGTATTTTCACACAAATAAAAATATTGTTGAAAATAAAAGTTGCCCATGACATCTACAATAATTAGGAATTATAATTGGCTGATTTCACATTTACCTCTCATGTACATCTTTGTGGTCTCCATGATCTCCTGATAGACGAGGAACTCCGGCAGCGTTTTGAAGAGCGCAGAGTGGGGATGAATGAAAACCGGGTCGTCCAGAAGAGGCGTCTGTTACCAAACACAGAGAAAGGTAAGAAGGTGAAAAAGAGCAGTGATAGACTCTCCTTAGTCACAATTACAGGTCTCAGAACAACTTGCCCTGTATGCCATCTTCCATTTTTGGTCGAGTATATCTTCTGCCTGTGCTCGCCGTGCGAGATGGTCTCCCAGTCCAGCCAGGACAATCTGCCGCAAGCACACCACCTGATGCTCTGTGGGCGGGGCCATCTTTGGATCCACAAACACTCCCACCTCTGGACACACCGAGTTCACTGAGGAGAAAGAATGTCAATGATTCTCTTGTGTCTGGAGAACATTATGTGTCAGGTTTTCTGTGTGTGTGTGTGTGTGTGTGTGTGTGTGTGTGTGTGTGTGTGTGTGTGTGTGTGTGTGTGTGTGTGTGTGTGTGTGTGTGTGTGTGTGTGTGTGTGTGTGTGTGTGTGTGTGTGTGTGTGTGTGTGTGTGTGTGTGTGTGTGTTAGTTTACCTGCATTGGTAAGTTGTCCTCTGAGCCTCCTGATCTCCACCATGGCTTTATACCTCAGGCCGTTCTCCTCGCAAAACTTCGGAGTACAACCAGCAAATTCACAAGCTCCCACAGCACCTGTTGTCACATGTATACAGAAATATTAGTAAAACCCCATCACTGTCATGAACACCTTCTCTACAATATTGTTTGTATATTATGCATTTGTAAATCTAATTAAAATGCTGCCCTTAACTCTGTGAAGTCTCTAAATGTTTTGCTTATGCATATTCTCTGCATCAGTTTCAGTTAGACTTCTAATCAAATATCTCCTGATGTTAACTCTCACCCTGAAATCCCAGCTCATGCTGTAACCTGGAAGTAATGTGTGTTTTTGAACTTCGTTATCGAACCCTAACGCAGCGTCCACACGGCAGCGTGCGTTGCCGGCGGGCGTGTCTGAAACTCGACCAACAACCATGATTTAACATGAATCTCCCGCCCCGGACACACAAGCACGCGATTTGATTGGCTAGAGCTTGTACTGGCATATGATTTGATTGGCTGACTCTTCCGCCGAAGCTTCAAAAGTTGAACATTGCAAAACTTTTGAAGCGAGCAAACCGAAGCAACGCTCCCACAATGCAGTTCGGCAAAGTGTGACGTCACCCCATTCAAAGTGAATGGGCAGAAGCGTTGAAGCTTCAACGCACGCCACCGTGTGGACGGGCCGTAAGAGGGTTGACCTAGAAAACTAAGCTTCTGACTATAAATTCGCCAGCATTTCTACCTAAACAAGACTTAAGCTTACCCAGCATGACCATGAGGTCCCCCAGTAGGAGGGACGCTCCTTGCCCAGCCCACAGCCGCCTCATTTGGTTCAGCCGAGCTCGGCGCTGAGCAAGCTTCACGCTCTCATCTTCACTAGCAGCAGTTCTAGGGGGAAAAAAAAGTTATGAGTAAAAAGGCAAAATGAAGTATGCCGGTAAGAAGATTACTGAACCTTAAATATGTTGCATGTCTTCCTTTTAAAGTTTTAAAGTCATTTAAAAAGTTTGTCATAAATCTGTGCCTTTCTGAAGTAACAATTTCTACAAGCAAGAATTGTGTAGTTTTGATATTCTACAAACAGATATCATGAGTGGTAACATGTGTCCTCACCTGTCTAGGTCTTCAAAGATCTCCCTGACTGTCATGGCTGCTACCACAGCGATGACGTAAGGAAGGCAGTCCTGCTGCTGACCAAGAGCTAACATTTTAGCGTAGCGTGGTGCCACAGGGAACGAAGCCATTGCTCTGCCCAGGGGGGTGATGGGGCAGCTCAGTCTTGCTAACTCCATCTGTTTCAAACTTATACAAAAGAAAAATAGAGTTAAGACAAGGGAGATCACACTGGACAAAAGAAAAAATGAATAAAATGTCCAAATACAACGGAATATTCTCTCAAATCATGTCAAATAAAATCAAACCACCTGCTTTATTTACTTCTTTTTTTTGTCAGTATCTAAGCAGAAACCACTATCCCTCAACTTTACCTAAAATGTTATAATAAACACTTATTGAATCCAGGTAAGCCAGTTGGTATTGTTTAAGGCAGGGAGACGTATCTTCAGATTTAGCTACCTTCCAGTGCGAAGCGGCTCTTTCAAAGCTCCCAGTGAGACTAACAGCTGCTCTGCTGCCACAAGAGCCTCTGTAGAGGGAGACGTGGGGAAGGGGAAATTCACCACCTGCCCAAAGAGAAAACATGAAGCTGTTTTGAAAAGGTGAAGCATTAAAATAAGAAGAACGCTGGTAAGTTAGAGTTGTTCCTCATTTTACTGACTTTATCTATGTTGAGGTCCTTCATCTGTAAAACCAGGTCCTCCACAGGCCGGCGGGTGATCTCTGCCTCTGAGAACAAACTGAAGTCTCCAAATACTGCAGACGAGTACAGCCTGCAGGAACAAAGAGAAACATTTGTGAATCCTCAAGTAAAGAAATGCACATGAGAGGCAACCAACTCCAAATGAATTATTCTTTAAATCAAGGTCGATGTAATTCAGATAGGGACTTTCAATAATTCTGTGTCACAGTCACAGTTTTCCAGTTCTGACCTGTAGCAATGTCCCGGCTCTGTTCGTCCCGCTCTGCCTGCCCTCTGATTGGCCGAGGCCTGTGAGGTCCATGAGATCTTGAAGGACGACACTCCGGTCACTCGGTCATAGAAACGTTTCTTAACACGGCCACAGTCGACCACGTACTTGATGCCCGGGATGGTCAGAGATGTCTCGGCCACGTTGGTGGCTACCACACACAGACGAGCTCCAGGTGGAGGAGGCCTGAACACCTGCAGTCAACAAACACACACACAAAGATATCACATGTTACACGTTGTTTACTGTGGTGCGTCGTGTAGTGCTCCTTCAGCTTCAATACTTACAATTGGTATGGAAAAGAGAGTTTTTGACTGGGAGATGATAATTGTGATCTTTGAAACTCACCTTGTAACGTACATTAATTATAACTAGTAGTATTATTATTAGTAACCATTATTGCAGTAAAATCACTCTTTCGCACAACAACATACACCTTATCAACAGTCCATGTTGATTCATAAAAAAAGATAAGTCTTTCTTGTATAATAGATCTTCAATTTAAACTTTCTAAATTTCCCTGAGTTTCATGAATGTAATAGTTCCCTAAAGACTTTATGGAATATGTTGATAGAAATGGGGCCAAGCAGCTGCATATTGAAACATTACAAAGTAAGCTTAGGTCCATAGTGGACATTTATAAGTATACATTTTTAAGTCTATCCAGGACACCGAAACATGAGGGAACCTGTACTACAATATTATACTGCAAATAACAGGATTGCTTTGACACAAGATATTAATCTCACCTTGGCCTGCTGCTCTGGGTCCAACAGAGAGTACAGAGGGAGAACATAGAGAGGAATGGAGGGGTCAGCCTTCACCTCTGCAGAAATAAAACACAGCAGAAGACACACAATTAGTAAAAGCCAACATTAAATCCAACTTGATTTAAAGAAAACAATTATTTGTTATCACTTGCCTGTGCTGGCGGGATCGTCTCCGAACTCCAGATCGGAGCCGCCATACTCTTCGTCTCCGATCCCCGCATCTCTGTCTTCATCACCTTCATCCACCGGGAGGGCGGAATAGTTATCCAGATCGATGCGAGGCAGAGACTGTAGACAAAGGTAACAGCCTTAAAATGTGCACACAAGAAATATCAGCAGAAGACAAAGGTCGCTGCAGAACAATTGAAATTAGTTTTAGGGGCATTTCACTCAAAGTAAACTCACAACAGTCTTCTTCTGTTTGGTCTTCTTAAACGTCCTCATTGCCTCTGAGGTGTCTGCGTCCTCATCTTCACCTAAACACAAAAGAACGTAAGCATATATAGTCAGAGTTGTGTCATGTGTTTGTTGAGCAAACAGGAGTTGTGTTAGACTCACCATTAGTAGTGTTACCCCTCCGTAAGGGAAAAGCTTGTCTCAGTTGTCTGCACAGATTGTTAACCTCTGCCTGCCCGGTCAGAAACACCAGGATACCACCTGAAGGACAGAGACGTGGCATTAGGGTGGTGGTGAGGGTGAAGGTTAAACTCCAGAAAACTGCTTCACAAACACATATATTTATGCCTACAAGCTACAAAGACTAATTTCTTTCTTAAAAATATGTAACCTTCCCCTGAATCTACTTGAATAAATAAGAGTTCATGTTTAAGGTCATGTAAGAGCCCCAATACTTCAATTCAGTTTTGTTGTAAACAAAGTAAAAGTAGTAAGTATAACATTTGGGAAAAGATGTCTTGTGTGCACCTGGAGGCAGCATCCGGTGGATCTTGCAGGTTTTTTGGAAAACTTCTCCGGTGTAATCATCCATCGGGGTGCGTTTGTTGAAGTGTATAGAGACGGGGAACTGGCGAGCTTCCACCTTAATGACAAGTGGCGGCGTCCGGAAAAGCTTTGTGTTTTCTGTGAAGTCCTCCACTCGCAGAGTAGCCGACATGACCAGCAGCTTCATGGGCAAACCTTTCTGTGGAGACACGGGGGGGGAATAGGGAGACCAAATAAAGAAGGTAGGTTAATTGTCAAGCATGCAGTCGGTAATATTAGCTTTAAATATATAATAAATACACCCTCTCACCTTGTTCCTGAGCGGGACGATACGAGACAACAGTCCAATGAGGATGTCTGTGTACACACTCCTCTCGTGCGCTTCGTCTATAATTATCACACTGTATCTCTGGAGCAGGAAATCCTATCAGACAAGACAGAGACACTGAATATATTGAGGGAACATCAGGGGAATACAAATAAATGAAATGACAATCAAATGCCTTCCCATTTCTCTAAATGAAAAATTCTCTACAGAGGAACCTTATTCAAATGTAGATTATTTTATAAAGCAAAGATCCAAAGAACATGCTGTGTGCGGCTCTCAGTAGAATGAAGGAGAGCAGTAGTTACCTTTATTTGGAATGGAATCAGAAATACCAGTAAGCTAAAGTCTGTATTGTTTATTAAATGTTTTTAAATCAATGGAAAAGAACGAGGATACCTTCTGAATCTCCTTCAGCAGAACACCATCTGTCATGAACTTGATCTTGGTATTGCCGGTCACGTTCCCCTCATATCGAATCTGGTAAGACACCACCCTAAACACAAACGCACAAACACGTATCATACAATTTAAGTCTGTATACTTTCTAAAAGTCTAGAAGAGTAATTTCTAGATAAATCGACTTCAAATGTGGCCTCAAAAATGTCATAATATAGTGAAAATCTAAATCTGAATTAGAAATACTTTAATAATCCCAGGGGGTGAAATGGTTTAATGTTTATCCCAATTTCTAAAAAGTCAAAGCTGATGTCATTAAACGTCTTTTTTTATTACCCAAGATCCAAGGATATTCAGTTGAATATAACCTAAAACATAGTTGGAAAATCATTGCAGAACTCATTGGTTGTGAGAAGCTAATGTCAAACATTTCTGGATTGAAAATTACCGTGTTGACAGGTTCATCTCTTTAGCCACTCTTTGGGACATGCTGACAGCTGCTACCCTTCTTGGTTCTGTGATCCCAATTATTCCACTGCCACTGCGGAAAATCAGAACGATAACATTACCATAACCACATGACATCACAAATAAATATGCATCTATATGTAAAACGTTTTCCTAAAACAATATCAGCACCATAGAGAGGAATCCTTACCTGGCATAGCCGGCTTCATACAGAAACTGAGGCACTTGAGTTGTCTTTCCACTTCCTGTCTCTCCACAGATGACGATAAAGGGGTTTTCTCTCACTGCCTCCATGATGACCTGCTCCTCCGCCAGCACAGGCAGCTTCAGACGAGCCTCCTGCGGCAACAGATTGAAATATGTTAAGTTACCTCACAAAAAGGACCCATCTGTCTGAGTGGCACACCTTTATTTTCACCCACCTGTATTTCTGGTAATCTGTTCACAGGAATGAAGACGGCTGGCTGCGACAGCATTTTTTTTTCAAATTTCTCCTGATTTGATATGTTCTTTTCATTCTGTCCATCTTGTTCTGTTTGATGTGGTTTTTCCTGCACCTCCTGTTTGTCTTCTGTCTCCTGAGGTGGAGCGGCCGTCATCTCTGTGGTCTCAGTCACTTCTTCCTCCTCCTCCTCCTCCTCCTCCTCAGATGAGGTGTCTAGATCACTGCTTTCTTCTACCTCATCTTCATCCATCTCTTCTTTCCATTTTCTTTTTCTGTTTGCTCCACTGAGACTGCTAATCTTTGGCGCAGACTCTCCATCCTTTATTTCATCTGGTAACCTAAAAATAACCAGAAAATATAAAGACCACCAACTTCACCTTCTCTATATACTTAAAAAGAAAAACATGTTGCTTATAGATGACCTTGGTACACTTACTGTTTGGTCTGGTAAAGTTTATCTCCTGTTCCCAGTTTGGACGTGGTGTACAGCAGCTTGAGTTCAGACTCTGGGACCTGCACTTCGGCCAGTTTGGTCAGGATGTCTGCTCTCTGTGCGGGACAGACAGACGGACAGGTGAGTGGATCAAGATCTCTGTTGGCAGTCACTAAGTGATATTAACTTTCGATAATAAAGGCATAACAATGCCCCAAAGAATGAAAATACATGTTCCTCTGATTATTTAACATTGAAAGGCTGTTCAAAGTTGGGTTAACCTGAATACAAAATATGGTAAAACCAGAGCTTTGTGTGAACCTGCAGCATCCACCTGTG